AAAAGTCAAATGATGTTCTAAAGTAATAAAATAGCTCTACAAGGTAAAAGATTTCTAGGACACTGTAGGTCAGTGTGTCACATGTCTGTCCTGCCCACTGCCCCTTCCCCCGAGGCTACAGAAAGAATTTGCTATCTTGTCCCATTTGTATTTCCAAATTCTATCTGTCTTTCAAGGCCTGCTCCAAATCCTACATGCACCCACCTTGATTACATAACTCTCCTCAGATTTCTTCAGTTACTCTATGTGGCACAGATTTGATGATACACTGCAGAAATACTCTCGGAAAAAGACCCAGCACCTCCCAGCCTCCCAGGCCCTGCACCTTGTGGGCTAGCCTACTTTTCACCTCCAGTCTCCCCCTCACCCAGTGGGCACCCAACCACTCAGGCAGGAATGGCCTTCAGTTTTCCACAAGGCCCCACTGCTGCACATTTCAGGAACTTTCCACTCTGGGTTTGACCTTCCTGCCTGGCATGTTCTTCCCTTCCTGCTCCCACCACCTTCCTTTTATTGATTAATGCCTCAGTAGCCCTTAAGTCTGCTGTCCCAGACCCTTCCCTGACCCCCACACAAGATCAGTTCTCCTTGAAATGTGCTCCCTGTGCTGCCTTCATGGCATGTGCCACAGCTCAAAATTATAAACCTGTTTGATTATTTGGTTAGCACCTGACTTCCATTAGATCATAAGCTCCAATAAGGCAGGATCCATGACTGTGTTCCTCAACATTTGAATCTCTAATACCTAGCCTAGTGGTTGTCATATGGTAAGTGCTCTGTAAATCTTTTATGAATGAATGCATAAATGAATGATACACTTTGGCCTGATGGCCTATGTAACTCTTTATAGTACCCTGCATACAGATGCTCAATAAATATCTTTCTAGTTCATCTCATATTGTTCTATAGGACATTTTAATAAAAAACTCCATATAGTTTATGAATGTAGCTTACCACCCTCCGAAATGATGGGCCTGGCCATTGCAGGCAGAGTCAGGGGTAATTCTTAGTGCCCTGTACCTGATTCATTAGGGGTGGTGGTAATAGTGGGACATTACTCAAATATAACTCAAAAGTGTTCTATATCTGTTTTGCCTTCAGTATTTCAAATTCACCTTTTGGAAACCCTAAAATGCTGCTTCTGATTTGGTTATGGTACATGGGGACGCAGCATGACATGATGGCTTTAGCAGAAAGCTGGAAACTCAGAGACTGTGACTTTCTGTTGCTGGGAAGGCACATAACTTTAGCTTGCTCAGGGGCAAAGCAGGGCAACCAGGACAGCTTCGTTAGCAGTTGGCATAGATAAGTGAGATCTAACATCTGGTCCTTCATGAAAAATTCCTGTAGTTACAGAGCTGGAAAATAGACTATTATTCCATTAATAAGAGTAGCAGAATTAGTTCTTGTTCTCTGTGTTCCTTCCGTAGGCTAGTCATTGATGAATGATAATACTGTCTTTATAGTCTCAAGCAGTCAAAGAGTAAGATAAAAATATGCTTTATGGAGACCATCAGCAGCACTGTGTGTTGGAGAGAATGGACAGGCAATGCGGACGGAGCCCTATCCTACCCTAATAGAGAATTCTGTAATTAGCATATATAGTGACCCAGTGGGGAAAGAGAAGAGATATAGACACTGCTTATGACACAACCTCTGCCACACTCTCAGTGAGATTGAGAGGAAATCACTAATTGAATTCTGCCTCAAAATGGGAACACTAATTTTTTCTAAAATCCGCTTCAGTAGAATATTATAGAGTTAATATAATAGAGGTAAATGGCACTTAGGTTCTTAGGGAGTAAAAAAAAACTAATGTAAATTTTTATCAGGAGGATCTTCCTATGGTCATTAGAAGCATGATTTTACTAGATATAAATTAGGAATTAGGACCATATGGCAATTGAGTTCCTCAGACACCTTCCACAGGGGTAGGTGAGATTGACATGTGGAACCCTAAGCTCTGAGGTGAGGGAGGAGAGTATGGAGCTCTGGGAAGTCTGTGGAAGGCTGGCCCCCATGGGGTGGGCCGGATATCACAGGAAATCGTGACTACAGGGTTGCCCGAATATGTGTGTATGTTAAGGGACAGGAGGCAGGAGGCAGGAGGCAGGAGGCAGGTAATGACTGGAGATGGAAAGACACTGAATACAAATTTAGTTACATCACATTCTTGACTTCAATGTACTTATATCGGGCATTTTGAGTTTAAAGTGAATTAAATCGATTCATCTTTTGTGAAATACCAAAATGATCTTGTAAATGCTAATTAGGCTAGAGGACATTTGCATCATCTAAAAATAAGCAATTGGCCACCTACAACATGTAGATGATTTATTAATTTTAAATAAATGAGTACATATACGTAAATGGCAAGACTCAGGATTTCTGTGGCTGCCTTCTGTTGGGCTGTATTGCACTTCTCCACCAGGAAGGGGAGATAAAATACCCTTTCCTTTCAAGTGAATACCATTTCGAATGGAGCACCAGTCGGTTATTCTGGTGGGTGAAGCCAATCCTGTGAATGCCTGCTCTGTCCGTGGTGACTTGCCAAGGCAGGGGGCCTTGGTGGTTTTTTCCTCTTAAGTAGCTGCGTTCTTACTTCTTGAACCAACCTCTCAGGCCACAGCTGACTGAACTGGAATGAGCCACAGTCATTTACTCTATGGCTGGCCAAAGAGGTGACCTGGCATAAAAATGCTTTTTTTTTATGGATAATGGTGGTATGCTGAGTCTTTCAGCTTCTCTCTCAGGAATTTCAATAGAAAATATGGCAAGAATCAGGCAGTTGCAAGCAGAACCTTAGCTGAAATGTCCCCAGAGAGAAGGCAGTATATAAAATTGTGAAGCACTGCAAGTCATGAATAAGTAGAAACAAGGATAGGTAAACGCCTTGAAGCTGGGGAGACTCCGGAAGGAAGGGAGCGTTGCTAGATGGAAGCAGCTGAAGGAAAGTTGAAGCTCTAATGGTAGAGAACTATCTAGATAATCCAATTACTGGAACTGTATTGGATTATTCCAATTTCTGAATTGTAATATGAGACTCCGCCAGATATTTCCATGATGTCTAGCTATGACACATATATCCACATAGTAACCGCCACCCTCCAAAAATAACCTTAAGACAGTTTCTTTTTTTTTTACATTCCAAAGAACCTAATCTACGGTATGTACCAATGGTTTACAAAAAAATTTTTATTTCGGTCTTATTGAGATATAATTGACATACATCACTGTAAAAGTTTAGAGTGTATAGTTGAGTGCCTTGACTTAGGTATATTGTGAAATGATTACCACAGTAAGTTTAGTTAACATCCACTATTTCATATAGATACAAGAAAAAAAAAAAAAGAAAAATAAAGAAAAAAATTAGTGATGTGAACTTTTGTGAATTACTCCCTTAGTAACTTTTAAATATGCCATACAGCAACGTTAACTGTAGTCACCATGCTGTACATACATTCCCAGGCCTTATCTCATAACTGGAAGTTTGCACCTTCTGACCTCCTACATCCAATTCCCCTATTTCCTGTCACCCGCCTCTGGGCAACCACAAATGTTATCTCTTTTTCTCTGACTTTCTTTGTTTAGATTTTACATTTAAGTGAGATCACACAGTATTTGTCTTTTTCTGCCTGACTTATTTCAGTTGGCATAATGTCCTTAAGGTCCATCCATGTTGTCTCAAATGGCAGAATTCTCTTCTTTTTATGGCTGAACAGTATTTCATTGTATATTATATATCATGTTTTTCTTTATCCATTCACCTATCGATGGACACTTAAGTTATCTCCATGTCTTGACTATTGTAAATAATACTGCAATGAACACGGGGGTGTAGATACCTGTTCAAGATAGTTATTTTGTTTCCCTCAATATATATCCATAATGGAATTGCTGGATCATATGGTAGTTCTATTTTTGCTTTTTAGGGGAACATCCATACTGTTTTCCATAGTGGCTGTATCAACTTATAATTCCATTGACAGTGTACCATGTTTCCCTTTTCTCCACATCCTCACCAGCACTTATCTCTTGTCTTTTTGATGACCATAATTATAATAGGCATTGTGGTTTTAATTTGCATTTCCCTAATGGTTAATGATGTTGAGCACATTATCATGTACCTATTGGCCATTTCTTTGTAGTCTTTGGAAAAATTTCTATTCAGGTCATTTCTTATTTTTAAATTGGATTATTTGTTTTTCTGTTGTTGAGTTATATAAGTTCTTTATGTATTTTGGATATTAAACCTTTTCATATATATGATTTACAAATATTTCCACCATTCTGTAGGTTTTTCTTTATTTTGTCAACCATTCCTTTTACCATGAAGAAGCATTTTATTTTGATGTGGTCTCATTTATTTTTGATTTTGTTTCTTGTGCTTTACATGTCATATTTAAAAATTTATTGCCAAGACCCTTGTCAGGTAGCTTCTTTCCTATGTTTTCTTTTAGGAGTTTTATGGTTTCAGGTCTAATAGTTAAGTCTTTAATCTGTTTTATGTTAATTTTTGTAAGTGGTATAAGATATGGGTTCAGTTTCATTCTTTTACATATGCATATCCAATTTTCCCAGCACCATTTATTAGAGAGACTGTCTTTTCTCCATCGAGTGTCCTTGGATTCCTTGTTAAATATTAGTTGACTGTATATGCTTCAGTTTATTTCTGGGCTCTTGATTCTGTTTCATGTGTCTATGTGTCTGCTTTTATGCTAGTACCATACTGTTTGATTACTGTAGCTTTATCACATAGCTTGAAATCAGCAAGTGTGACGCCTCCTGCTTTATTCTTTTTTCTTGGGATTGCTTTGGATATTCTGGGATCTTCTGTGGTTCTGTGTATAACTTTATGTTTTGCTTTTATTGTCCAAGTGCACTGAGTGGCTTTTACTCTCGTCTTCACTTCTCCCTTTCTCTGTTCTAGCTACTTGCCACTCTTTTTGTCCCACACCCTCCACTACATACAGATATTCATGACCCAGAGCAAAGCGGTAATGAGAACAGTGAGGGTTAAACCAACCTTGCAAGTCACCAAAGAGATCTTCCTGACACAGCTTGGTACAGACTGCCTTTGACTTTTTAATCAATTTATCTTCATAATGAATGAATAAGGACATGACAGTTTAACTCAAATATAAGTTCACAGCAAAATATAGTGTAGATTTTCTTTTTTTCTCTCTCTCTATTATTAAGGAATCAGCTTACTCTTGTCCCTAGATTCTTCTCTTCTCTATCCAAAGACAGAAAAATAGTCATACTGCAGGGACATTTTAAAGTTAACACATATCTGGTTTGGCTAAAATACTCTTTCCAGGAGCAAACATGGATGCTTTGAACTTTTTTTGGTTTGTCCACACACTTGTGTTGTCCAGCAGCATGTAGAGCTCCCTGAGGATCAGATTTGAACTGCTGCCAAGTGCATACTCTCCTTTTTCAATTGAACTTTAGTCCTTATATGGAAGTAATTTTAAAAAATTCTTAATTACTTCCTTTTAGCATCAAAACCTCCTTAAGTTTCAGTAGGGCATATGGCTGCCTGGCTTGAGACTATATTTCCTAGCTTCTCATGTGGCTAAGTACAGACATGTGACTCAGTTTCCCTCAAAAGAATGTGAGCAAAGTGATGTTTGCAACTTCTATGACAATTCTTAAAAGCGAATTGCTTGACCTCTATTTTCTCTTTATCTGCATTCCAACCCCAGATGAGATATCAGCTAACCAGCTCCACTCATGCAGTTGAAGGCAAAATGGTAGAGCAGTAAGGTGAAAGGAAGTAGAGTCCTTAGATAACCTGGTGGGGCACAGTCATCTACACTCTGGAGTGCCTCTGAGCTGTTGTGTGAGAGAGCAATAAATATCTCTCCCTTGAGAGAGCTGCTCAAGTTTTGAGTTTCTCTGTTATAACAGCCTAATCTATATACCCCAACCAACATGATAGTGGACATTAAGTACTGAACAGTTGTTATGCCATTTTGTTCTCTAGCAATGATCCTAAAATAGGTGCTACTTGTGCAAGCAGGCTTAGAGAGGTGAGGTGACTTGCCCAAGATCTCACAGCTGTAAGTGGTAGAACTTGAACTCAGCTCTGAGGTATTTAAAAACACACATTCTTAATTGCTATGCCCTCAGGTCTCTTAATATTACTGTTCGCTCTTTTTCTATAGATAATATTCAAAGTATTCTTCTCTGTCACTTTAAAGTTTTAGTCTGTTACACACCATAGCTTTAGACTCTTTCTTTGCTGGGTTTGGTATACATTTATCATTTCGTCCTGCCTTTTTGGGAGGGTGGGGAAGGCAGAGAGTATTGTTCTTAGTTTTGAATATAGATTCATCTTGGCTTGTTTGTTAGATTGTAAATCCCTCAGGAGATATACTAGTGACACAAATGCTAAATAAATGGCAATTATATGTCTAAAGGGATAAAGGCTGTCTGATCTTCTAGAATGACTCAGTATTCTCTTATGTGATGTTGTTCTCATGGGTATATAAATTCTGCTGTAAATGTATCAGTCCTAGTGAAAACACCCTTCCCCTAATTTAAAACATATTTTCATAGTAGCAGTGTATTTACCTAGAGGAAATATCTGAAAAGATGATTTTGAACAAGGAATGATGCCCATTCTATCTGTCAGTATAAATATAAGCAGGTGGAATTTAAAAATTTGCAGTCTCACTTTAGACAAATGTTAGCTTCATGATCATTCTGTTGTGCATGAGTTAGTAATACATTGGTTGCATAGTAAAAGAAAATCCAAAATATCACTGCCTTAAATAAGATATATATATTTTTTCTAACATGAAAGAGGCCTGGAGGTGATCAGCCAAGGACCGATATGGTAGCCACTTGGTCATTGTGATGTCCAGCTCCTTCTAATTTTTCCTTCTAAATGGTTTCCACTTTAAAGGTGTCCTCATGGTTAGCGGGAGTCCCTGTAATGACAACTGTTGTATCAGAGCTTTAGGCAATAGAATTCAGAGAAGGTAAATGGCCTTTATCTGCCTATTCTCTTTTCTAGAATTTTCACTAAACAAACTTCCACCCCATTGGTTAGAACTTAACAATACCTCGTTACATAGCAGACCAAATAAAATCAAAGTTTGTCTTGTTTTTAACTAAAGAAGAAAGGGAAGAATCGATGTTGGGTAGATTGCCTTGCCATCTAATTAGAAAATTACCACCATTCTAGATCAGGGATACTGACAAACTCTGGCCCATGGGCCAAATCTGGCCTTCGGCCTGTTTTTGTTTCTGTGTTTTTTTTCTTTGTTTGTTTTTGTTTTTGTTTTTATGATTTTTGTTTTTGTTTTGTAAATAAAGAGTTACTGAAACCAAGCCATATACATTCATTGATGTATTGTGTACTGATTTCATGATATAACAGCAGAGCTGAGTGGTTGTTACAGAGATGAGATGACCCATAGCCTAAAATATTTACTATCTGACCTTCTATAGAAAAAGTTTGCCAACCCTTGCTCTAGATCATGGAGGACAGATTTTGACAAATGAATGGCTTCGTTCCTTGGGATACTATTATAGGAGCAGCATTGAGTTTAATATGGATTCAGTAATAATCTAGTCTTCTTGAGCCCCAGTGACTTTATATCCATCTATTAGGCATACATTTGGCTGCAAGCAACATAAAACCTGACTAATGGTGGATTAGACAAAAATGAGTTTATTTATCTCACATGTAAAGAAATCCAGAAGTTCACTGTCCAAGGCTGGTGCAGATGCTCAATGATGCCTTCAAAATTGGACCCTTTTTTTCTCCCCAACTGTATCCAGGATGTTGCTGTTCTTCTCCATGCTTATTATCAGGTGGCTGCAGCACCTAAAAGCATTATGTCTGCATCACATGTAGGGAGAAGGGAAAATTACTGAAGGCCAAAGAGGGCACGAGTCTGTAGCTTTCTAAAAACTTTCCCAGACGTGCTCATTGGCCAGGACTATATCTCATGACCCCGGCTAGCAGCAGAGGATTCTGGGACGGTGAGAATATAAGTTGGGCATGTTACTGGGGCAAACGAATAGAGATTCTATTGGAAAGGAAGAAGGGGAGACAAGAACAGTATGTGCTGCAGAGGGTCCCTCACAGTAAACTGAGCTACTCTAGCACGTTCTTAGAGTTTCACCTTCCCTTTCACCTTCCTTATCTGCCCTTTCCTGCCACAGTTCCCAAAATTAATTTTGTTCTTTTCACCTCCCTTGCATATTTTCGGCTAGGTGAGAAGCCTGGAAATGAGCCGGAAGAAGTGAAGCTGCAGAATGCCAGCAGACAGATTGTGCAAAATGCCATCCTGCAGGCTGTGCGGCAAGTCTCCCAGGAGAGTCGGCGGAGGGAAGAGAGAGCCCGTGACAGCCGGGGCAGCTTCCAGTTGGGTGTGGGGGAATTAACCAAGAAGCATGAAAAGAAGTAACACAGTGGATTTGGCTGCCATCATATGCTTGGCTTCCAGCCTTCTTCTTAGTATAGGATGCATCGCCAAAACGTTGCCAGTGAAGCAAACCAAAGTGTCATTGACACCTAGCAGTAGAATGATTTCACACTAGCCCTTGGCTGAGAAGCACTGTTTTGAAAAAGTGCGTTAGACGATTCTGTTTATATTAATGCAGTGCCTCTGAAACAGTGGGGCCAAACACAACACTGTAATTGCAAAAGTAGTTTGTAGCACAATTTATTTTTAAAGTTCTTTTTAAGAAAAAATAATTCTGTCTTGTTTACTTCTGCCTTTTAAGCATTCTTTTTGTGAATTTAACCAGCAGTCCTTTTTGCTGAAATACTGAGTGCAGTACTGTGTTCATTATATATTTAAAAGACTTGCTGGAAAAGGAAGGAATGGAGTTTCAGCCACCTTCAAATATGGAACTGAAAAGGCTTTTCTAAAGTGAGTTCAGGTCCAAGATCAAATTAAGCAAAGGCGAATTCTAAGACCAAATCCCTGAGGATCTTACCAAGGCATATATTTATATTACTTTTTTAAAAAGGAGGAGTTTAGCATCTCAAGAACTGTCTTTTAGTCTCAATTGTTTGATAGTTGGTGTTTACTTTCTGTGCAGAAATCCTTTGGAAATATTATGAATTTCTTTTTTCATCCCAAAATTAAGACAAGTTTATCTATATGCATGAGTTGTCCATAACTCAGTTCTTTAGCAGCCTCACAAAGAGCAGCTACAATTGTAGATTCCACCCTGGAGCTAAACTAGGGTCTGATTCTGGGGTGCAGTGTCCTTGAATGGAGCTCTGGGGCCTAATAAATGCTGTGTTGCCATCAGGCTATGTATTTGCACTAGTACCTCGCTACTAAGAACTTTCCTTTTTCCCACTGACAGATTAAAATTATTTTTTTGAGATTATGAAAATCATACATATCAGAAATGAATAACACTTAAAATGGGAAAACTTTTTTTAAAACTCTCTGAAGCATGAAAATACAGTGGGAATATTAAAGCGACAGTGTTGTGAATGTAGTTATGGAGATATATGTGTGTGTATGAATAAAGCCATCTATATTGCAACAATATATGACTTCTGCTTCATTCCCACATAGATAATGCACATCTTTCTGGAGTCTTTAGAGTCCCATTTCCTGGGCTTCACAACAGTTATTGAATTGGTGCTACTGGGGACAGAAGAAGAATTTAATCTTTGTTAAAAACCTTTTGGCTTGAGAGCATCAATGTCTACATTTGATAGTTTTTTAAAAAGCCAAGTATTTACATCTAAAGTATGACTGATATTAAGGTATATTTGTAAAATTCCAATATGTTACACTTTCCAGAATGGATACTATTGATAACAGTAGATGAATGAAAATAATCTCTTATCATCTCAGCTAGACTATCTCACACGATGCACAGATGGAATAAATTCACAGGGAGAATGGCAGTAGGAGAGAGCGGAGGGTTTAAAATTTAAATATGGTTTGTTCATAATTTTTTAAACAGAACTCATGACAACTGAAGAATGAATTTAAGTTGATCTGAAGGCATATCACTGATGTGATATAACTGCATAGTATAGATAGTGTGAATGAAGGTATAAAGGGAAATTATTCAGGAGAATCTACACACACAAAAAAAATCCAATGCTTGTAGTTTGCAAGTAATCTGGCACTATGTATACTGAGAAGTCTGGATATAACCAGCATCGGATCTTGCTGACATATGTAGAAACACACTAACATATCATCTTTCCTCTGTGTACTGTGCTAATACATTGGGGATCTTTGAAAACATCTGATGAACCTCAGTATCTAAATGTTACTTGTAAAAAAAATATATGCAACTTTGAAGTATGTTGTCATTTTAAGCAAAGTTTTCTCTGTCCTATTGTTATGGTTCATTTTATACGTGAACCTTACATTCATATGGCACCAGGAAGCGTCCCGAGGCTGTTTTCCAAATCTCTAGATCATGACCCGGGAAAGTGCTCCTCTAATGGGCCTCTACTGTGACTGTGAAGAAAGTCAGGGATGATGGTTCCTGAGGCTTGAACAGAAAAGGACATGTGCTAAGAAGTGGCCTTTGGATCTCAGGAAGTAAAGATAAGTGGATCTGGAAAGCTGAGTGTCTTTCATGATCTTTCTGAGATGGAAAGTGTACAGTGAGGAACAGAAATATGGAGAAGTTCTTGGAAGGAGAAAAGAAAGTTAAGCAACTCCTGCACTTAATAGGTAGGTGCCATATTGGCAGAATCCTAAGGAAGCTCAGCTATTTTAAAATGAGTGCTTCTGTTAGACTTTTACTTGTATCTCAGTATGAAGTTACTGGATTCTAAAAGGGCTGACAGAACATCATTTGACATAGGGTTAAGGGCTTCCACTGGCTATTATCATAAACCAGCACACAGCTTTTGGTTTTAGGAATTAGTGGGCACACTTATTTAACGTCTTTTATCTTCCTGATTTACCACATGGTAAAGCATACATGGGCCTTCCAAGACTGTTTTGTTGTTCATCTTTCACTTTGCTTGTCTCTGGAGTTCAACTAATGAAAAATATTTTTATGTTACTTTGCTTTTCTGTAATCATCTATCCAGTGTGAAGAGTATTGTAAATAGACACAAAACAGCTTACTGCTTCCTTTATTTTTTTTCCTTTTTTTCCTCTTTTTTAGCCACTTAGTCTTCCCTTATGGTGGGATTTCAGGTTACAAATAAACAGATCAATCATTTAAAAATTATTGAATTTATGCCATTCAGGATATTTTTAAGATTTTTAAGGACTCTATAAAATAATACGAAAGAGGGAATTTAAAATTTATCCACTGTAACAACTGTTGTAGTAAAATACAGTAGAGAATGAAGTCTCCAAAAAATCTGGTAACTAATTTAACCATTTTACTACCCAAATAGGTGTAAAGACTAAACATTTGAGCAAATCATTCAGTTCTTATAAGGAGAGATTAGCAACTAAAATAATATCATCTCTCTAGAGGGTAAGAAAGCTTTCTGAAATATATTACTATACATTATCTTATTCGTCTCAACACTGCTGGCAGGAAGATCTTATTCTCCTTTTGCAGATGAAGTCATACTGTGTTGAAGAGAGGATAAATATATCCTAGATGGTAAAAAGCGAGTATTATTGGGCACAAGAATCCATGAATAACTGATCTTGAACTTCATGAGTATATAAATTAGCTAAGGAGTTTAAGAATATAAATTCTAGGAATATTTATATTAAGATGGAAGACTAAAACTGCCTTACAGAATACCTTTCTGAGTAATAAATCAAAAATAGTAAACGGCCAACAAAAATAATCATCAATAGAAAAAGTTCAATCAATTTCCCTCAAAAAGTGCGTGCTAAGGAAAAAAACCCAGGAAACTCCAGAGGGAACAAAATGGAAGATTAACAACAGCATGACATGTTCAGCTTCTCTTTCCTCTGCTCCTCAGAAGCCATGCTGGTCAGCCCACAGAATCCTGACCCAGGTCTGATCCAGGTCTGGGGAAAGATGACTGAGTGACTTTGTCATTGTCTTCTGGCTGCGGTGTAATGTCTTTTGGAAAGAAATAGGTGAAATAGGAAAGGAACTTCTCTCAGACAGAAGTGACAGCTTCATCTAGCAGAAATGGAAAAAAAAAAAGAAAGAAAAAAGAAAGAAAGAAAGAAAGCATCTATTTAAAAATCCCCTCATTATATTCTAGGGAAATGGATACAAGATGCCCAACAGCAATACTTCTAGAATAAAAGAAAAATTTGTGAAACTTCTAGGCTGAGAGTGAGTCATTTACTAGCAAAGATGTCACTCAAGCATAAAGGCAAGCATAATAGAAATTACCAAGGGTTACCAGTACTCAAGGGCTCTTCTTGAAAAAATTGACAGTGAACTTCAGCCCACTTAAAGATAAATCAAAATAAAGGATCTAGGATTGGGGGAGCTGCAGCAAAAGGACTGGTGAAGAGCAGTGCCTTCACTTAAATATAAAGTGAATATTACATAATTGTGAAAATTAGGCTAAAGTAAAGAATATAAATTGTTATATCTTGAGAATATAAAAATGTAACTAACAAAAATCAGGAGGTGGGGCAAGGGAAATGGCATCATGCTCATGACTTCGTCTATTAGAGAAAAGAGAAATTATATGATTTTAAATTGAATGACCTAGTTAAAAAACTTCAAGGATACTAACCTCTTAATCGATTTTATCATTCCTTTTCTTAAACTTAAGTGAGTATATAAGAATATATCTTATGATAATATTTATTTAAAGTTTAGCAATTCCTTTAGTTTCCATTTAGTTTTTTCTTTCATGTAATTAAAAATAAAGTGACATATATATTGTCAGCACCGAGCTAATCGAGAAGAGAAGGTTTCGGTGGTGAGACACCCAGTCGGAAGAATGCACGAGGGGCCGGCATGAGAATGAAACGGCAGGCACCAACTTTATTGTGGGGAGCGCACTTCTGTTAAGGGAGTGCAGTATTGTGCACACTTCTTGTGCTCCCCTTCTGCTCTCCAGAGGACTGCATGGCTCTACACATACCAGAGTACAATATGGCCTTCAGCCACACATGCGTGATACGATAAGCTGAAGTTATGTTTACATATTTTAGGCACAGGTGCTCTACTACATGAATGTAACATTCTAAATCTGGGGTCCTATTCCTAGCCCCAAGCCTAGATCACAGCCAGACCTGGGATCAGCCAGGCCTGGCTCCCACACTCCACCCCTGCATGTTGTGGCACAGGATCTGGCCCAGAGGGCACTACCTTGGAGCCACAATCCACTTGCCATTCCTGGAGTGGCTTAGCCCTGTGGGGCATCTACCCTGAGTTACTTTTTACCTCCTATCTCTCTGGGTGCTGCTCAGCACACCAGGGGCATTGTGACACGGCAACTTGTGACTGCATCAACGGTAGCCCCCATCATTTTGCTAGGTCTTGGTGGTTAACCAGGCATCCTCAGGGATGGGAGCCTGACCCTCTACATAAGGACTCAGTATGTCTCCCATCTCAGCAGGCTCTTTCAGGAGCTCTGCCTGAAACTGTACTGATCCAAATGAGGAGTGCAGTAGACATGACAGGGGTCTCACAGAAAACTGCGCCCACTGCTCTAGGTACGCTCCCTACTTGGTCAGTGTAGAGGTCTGTGCCATTTCCGTACAGAAAGTCTTCACCCAAGACCGCAGCCGCCCCT